ACAGCGTGTCAACGGTAAGAAGGAATTCTGTTAGTATGCGTCAGTTAACATTTGAAATGATTAAATTGCCCTCACAAAGCAAACTGCAGAGACCAAAACACCCCAAATTTAATCCATTAGCTACCTGAAAACAAGCTTTTGTTAACTAACAAGAATTTACATGACCAAAAGACCCCAAATCATTTTTTTTATTTGAGGTTTAGCTAGTAAGAGATTTAAATAAAAATTTTAAATTACTCGATTCTAACTTAATTCAACAATCTCTTAATTCTTTTGTCTTCTTTTCTTTAAGAGTCAAATTGATAAATATATATATTATTTAAAAATTTTAATTCTTAACCAAATTCAAATATTTGAAGTTGGGGTGAGTAATTTTGAGATACATATATAACATGCATATGAAAAGATAAAAACTAATTATTATATTAAATAAAATTTGTCAATAATAGTAGTATATAAGTACCCTTACATGGATGACTCAATTAACTAAGAGTTTAAAATTCTAAATTAAGTTTGAACCTTGAATTAAATGAAGAGAAATTTGAGAAAATGTAAGGACTATTCTCTCTTTTATAGACATGATCATGTGTAACAAAAAAACATATTAGTAAATGAATAAAATGAGGCAAGTAAATTAAATTGGAAGGAATATGAATATTGATGCACTAAAATCACTGCTAAGTATGCTAGTTGTTCAAGTAATAAAGTTATGAAAAAAATATCGAACTCAAAAGAATTGTGATTAACTTAGTATAAAAAATAATTAATTTAAAATTTATTTGAACAAATAAAAAAATAAACTTTAATTAAAAATAGCTGAAAAGAAGAACAAACTAAAACAAAATCTAACCAAAATATAAGATACTAAGATAACTAGTATTAAGATATCTAATTTCATCATAACTAATTAATATAGATTTTTTTTTTAAATTATTGTACTTTTAAGATATTTACTATCACGTAACAACAAAATTTCATATTCTACTTGATATATTTTTCTCAAGTTATATTAAACATATCTTTAACTATTAACTCAATATATTTTTATGTAAATTTTAAAAAATAAAAATCGATTGTATCATATGAAATTCTCTAATTTATGTAAAAACTTTCAAGTTTACTTATTACTAATATTATGCAAACCAAGTTGATTAAGCTTAGACTTCTGTTCAATTTGTAATATATATTATTAGAAGTTATTGTATAAAATCTCCTTTCGAAATCAATTATGCTCCCCATGTTAACTGTAATGGAAATCAAGCATTAAGAATAATAAAATATACTTATTATAAATAGCAATCTTCAAAAGTATAAAAACCATAAAATTTTATATCAAATTGATTACATTACATTGTAGTCTTAAACAACTAAATTAGTTTTTAATAAAAATATTAAAACTTAAATCATAATTACAAGCATAAAAATATTAAACAAAAATAAAAATAATCTAAAAAAATAAAATCTAATTTAAAGAAGTTGAAATTATTAATTTTTTATTATAGATAAGTTTTTTATTACCTCCTCTAATGAAAATTATGTAAAATCAAATAAATCTAATAAAATTCATCTAAATATTACTAATATCAAAGTAAAAATTTTACATTAATATCTAGAAATTTTCAAACTATCAAACATCAATTCAAAACTAGTTAACAATAAGTAAGGTGGGATTTTTTTT